ATTTTATGTGTATAATCTATGGCAGCGCTGCAAACAAAACACTCTTTCTTCCTAATGCCGGCACTTCACTTGGCTATTCGTATTTGCTATTTTAAAACATGACATCAGTCTGTCCTTTTCATTCTTTATTAAGCATGACAAGGACAAACTTTTGTTAAGTGAAGGGCCGGCATAAAACTTGTTACTCTGTGGTTGTGGTGCATGCTGTTTCATAGTAATCTGTGGCATTCGTGCATTCCAAAGAGTAGTTTATTATACCGGAAAGTGCATTCTTGTTTTGGATTACCTGTTGTGTGTGTTTATTTGCGATTGTTTTTCCTTTAATTTAACTATTAAAGTGTGTGTAGTATGTGTGCCATCGAAGTTACCAAAGAAAAGACCCCTTATTACCAAGTGCTAGTGAACCTGTGCCACAACATCCTGAGAGGATCATACTGCCAAATTATTCAAGAACACCTGATACACATTCACGCTGTATATTTACACTATATACATGTGATATACAAATAAATACAATAAACAATATGATACAATTATGTGAAAAATAGTCAATAAATAAGAAGAAAAACTACAGTTTTTATTTTATTCATGATTCCTACCTAACCAAGTTTTTCCTAATAGTTATTCTTTAAAATCCCACCGAATAAAATGAATTAGTTGTAATATCAATTCACTTCATACTGAGTTCATACTAAATTCATAGGTTGACCTATGTTTCATTGAATATTAAACATAACCTCAAAAAAATTTTAGTTTTTCTAATAATTAAAGTTCTCAGAAGTGTCCGTCAATAATCTTTGTTTTTACAGTCATTTACTTACGATTTTGAACCTAGAAAATAATATTTCATGATAGTTGGTTCTTAGGCTAACTATGTATGGACGCTGAACAATGTCCTTTGTAGTGTAACACTTTGAAGTATCGGCAATGCAATAATAAACTGAAAATTTGATTTATTTGTAAATTTTTCATACTAAAAAATGTTCCTCGCACTAAGCAGCCTTAATTAAAAATACTCTAGTAGTAATTTTAGGTTTAATTTAAACAAAAATCCCAAAACGAAAATGAAAAGGTAACGCTTTTCATTTCGTCAATTTGAGGTTAAAATTTCGAACAATTATCTGTTAAATTCAACTTTTAGTTCAAAAGTTTTGTGAATTAGAGTAGGCTTAGAGAATTTATATGTCAAACTAATTTCGGACGAACTAATTTTCGAAATGAAATAGAAACAGAGTAAGGAACGTGCAAAATTTCGTTTTTCGTTGGAATACAGTAGGCCTCCGGACTTATGAGATTAAGTTTATGCTAGAGGAGTAGTAAAAGAATATCTAACCTCACAACAGCTAACTTATATAATATTTTAATTCAATCAGACCGTATCTGGCATTATATCCAGACAGTGACTTCATGAGTTATCTAATATTGAAGTCTTTTTTCAATTTGACGACTCTGTATATAAAACAGGGAGAAAAAAACAGCCCTTGCTGAGTTTCTTGCCGGTTCTTCTCAGTACAAGGTCTCCCGCCGTAGATATACGAACCGATGACGTAGCTTTTCGACATCCATAAGTGCTTGTAACAGCCTAGACTGAATAAACGATATTGAATTTGATCTTTTTTTTTAATATCTTTCTCTCTTATTTATTTTTATTGACATTTCTTGTCTGATATGTGTCTCGAGCATGCTATGTACACATACTTGATATATAAGTCTCGACAACAAGTATTTTGAGCAAAATGTTAATTATGTATGTGTACCTGATCTGTGTTCTTGAAAAATAAATAAACTAGATTCTGTGCGGAAAGACAATGGGATTTAGATTTGAGGGCGCTGTAGTGCTTTTCTCCCGTATTTGTAAGGTTTTATCCCTTTTAGACATGATTAAATACAAAAAACCGCAAGAAATCACAACAACAAACAAATCCGTATCAATACAAAACTTTGACGTGTTACAGATTGCTGGGTTTGATTGCCAAATAAAAATCTTAATGTTAGTTCCCTTTTTCGCCACGCCCATTCTCTTTCCGCACCGACTCTATGTCGTTCAAACACCATCATCTCCTCTCAATAACACACGTTAACTAATCATTGGCTTATCAATAAATTCATACTTTCTTTAGTACTTATCAAGTTTTTAATTTTGTAAGCGACTGAATGACACACACGGCACAACTGCTAACGAGCTCTTTATAATGCAAAAGAAATGTATACGTATCATAGCCCACATAGACAATACGGAAAGCTGCAGACCATATTTTATAAAATACAAAGTCCTGACTTTACCATCCATATATATCCTAGACGTATCACTATTCGTACATCAAAATTTAGACGTATTTAAAAAAGTTGACGAAACACATAATATAAATACACGGCACAAAAATCGATTATATTTACCACCATCTCGATTGAGAAAACTTAGTAGCAGTCCATATTATATGTGTATAAAAATTTATAATAAATTACCCGCTCACATAAAAAACGAAAAACATTTTAACCAATTTAGGATAAAATTGAAAATATATTTATTAGATAAATGCTTTTACACCATAGATGAATACTTTGCAACAAAATAATATTAATGAGGCGATCTTTAAAATACAAACCTAGATTATATAATCATGTTTATTGACATATTATTTTATTTTTATTGACATATTTTTTAATTTTAATTATTGACAAATTTAATTTTATAAAAGAATTTCCATAATAATAATTACAAAATTAAACTAGTACTGTAAATAAGATCAATTGAGTAAGTTATAAAATTAATGAAATCAGATGACATTTATGCATGCTTTGAGAAAAAAAAGTTGTTTAATAAATATTAGGTTCTTCATTATATAGATAATTGTTTATTTGTTAAATTCTCTTTTGTAATTTTTATCTATATTGCGATACCCTGACAGGGTTCATGTTAGGTACTTTATGCATTTTGTAACTTGTAACCATCCATGTAACCACATGACTGCAATAAATTGAATTGAATTGAATTGAATTGAATGATCTCATTTCTCATATTATATATATTTTACGCTAGTTCCAATTTTGTTTTTTTTTGCTGCTGCGATGAAAAACGATTTTTATTTTGAATTATTTATGTAACCTAATTAGCAGTTAAATAAAACTAGTTTTAACGTGTTAATGCACGAAACTTTATTCATTTATTGGCGTTTCGCAGCCTTTGCAGGTCTGTATCGTCAGAATGATTTTTTATTTAATTTTGTCGAGCTACCTTCGAAAGACTTTTATTGAGCATTAACCCGTTAAAACTAGTTTTATTTAATGAGTGATATGCGTGAAAACCTAAGAAACAACTAATTAACAGATGTAAGATTGCTTTTTTAGCAAAATCAGTGTCACCGTTTTATTATTATTTAACAAACTAAATGGCTGGTTCAAATACAATACATAATATTATATTACGTCGCAGGCTCAGCCAGAGCGCTTTTTACTGGCCGCGCTAACATTTATTGATTTTTATTAAGTTCCTAGCGTCTTTTTTTGTTTGAAAGTTTAGTTAGAGCGAGAGGGGAAGAGTTTACGACGAAACTCTATAGCTGTCTCACTCGTACGGAATATGGAAGTTGCTCAATTATAATAAAAGCTTTTTTTTATAGATAGGTCCGACAAATAACTCCGCCCCACCTGATGTTAAGTGACAGTGAAGTCCAGACGTGAAGATAGCTGGTTCAGCAGTTCTACCTGCCACTCCAGCTATACTCACCCTGCAAGGCCTGCATGTTGCTTCTTTAGCTTGATAGCTCAGATGGTTAGCGCGTTCAGCGTGCGATCGTGGATGTTAAACCACTTTCGCATTGGTCGGTCATTGGATGGGGGACCGAAAACTAATTCTATTAGTTAGGCTATTTAAGCCGTTGGTCCCGGCAGCATCTGCAGTCGTAAGTACCCAGCAATCCGCACTGGGCTCACGTGGTGGTCATGGCCCCAATTTCCCTATTCCATCCATAGGGAAGACCTGTGTTCCAGCAGTGAGAAACTAATAGCCTGTGATCTTAAGATGAATAAAAATTCAGAGAGTAATCATTGTACATCATCGATATTGTATGTAGAGTCTGTGCGGAAAGAGAAATGGGCGTGGCGTAAAACGGAACTAACATTAAGATTTTTATTTGGCAATCAAACCCAGCAATCTGTAAAACGTCAAAGTTTTGTATTGATATGAATTTGTTTGTTTTTGTGATTTCTTGCGGTTTTTGTATTTAATCATGTCTAAAAGGGGTAAAACCTTACAAATACGGTAGAAAAACACTACAGCGCCCTCCAATCTAAATCCCATCAATCCACCAATCCACTGGACGGATCGGGCTGAAATTTGGTATTCATGCATGCATGCATGTAGATGTTATGACGTAGGCATCCGCTAAGATAGGATTTTGACTTTGCAAGCAGGTATAAGAAGAATCATAAATGAATATCATTGTGTATAATACAAGCCTGAGAACAAAAACTGTAGTCTACACTTCAGCTCTACACCGAAACGAAGCGAGGGCGGGCCGCTAGTCTTTCAATATAATTACAACAATTTTCATTTTTAAAGATAAGTTTACTAGAAATTCATTTGACATTGTGGGTTACCTACAATGCGAAGAGATGGCGCTGCCTTGCAGCTTAAGGCTAGGAAAATTGCGACGCGGCTAATAGGGCCGTGGTAGCATAATGGTCAGTGCATTCGCCCGGATAGCGAAGGATGCGGGTTCGAGTCCCGTCCGCTGCCTGGTCCGCGTGGATTTTTTCTAGTAAACTTTTCTTTAGATTTAAACATCTAGCAGTTAAATGCTTTAAAAAATAAATAAAATCATAATTTTCATTTTCTTTATTTACAGGTACATACAACAATACATCATCGGTTGCAGTATTATAAATAAAACTTAAAAAAAACATATGTTACAGTCTAGTCTAAAAAGTTTCTACTTAATTAGAAAAAAGAGTATTGTTTGTACTTAACGAAAATATTAAAAAAAAACATTTAGAATCCATAGAGAAGCTAAAAAGAAGGTTTTTAAATAACTAGCCTACAGCTGTGATATTGAAATTTGTCAGTGGACCTTTTTTTAAATATAAACTTGACTATGTATAGTGCAATATTATAGTAAATAAGTAGGTATATGCCAAAGATATTTTAAGTAGGGTTATTAATATGTTCCTGAGTTGAATTTGACCGGAAGAGGAAATTAAAGATGGCGGCTGCACCACCACAACAATTCTGCGTAAGATGGAACTCTTACCATACAAACTTACAGGTAAGAATAAGATTTTATAAATATCTGTAGATAATTGAATGAATGAATGAATAGGGTATTTGACAAGTTTTAGAAAACGATCTCACGTTATTGACTAATGTTTATGGAGTCCATAAAAAATGGATATTCATCATTCTGTTGCGTATTTCAGTAAAAATAACCAAATCAAAAACTCCATTTTCAAGTTGCCGCGAAAACGTTTCTCTGGACAATATGGCGCCTTACTAGTATGTGACGTCACACGACTGTTATTAAAACGTCAAACGATACAATGTAATGTCACTTTACTTGCGTGTGACGTCATTTTAGGCTTCGCCAATCCCAAGCGTTTTGGGTCACGTGACAATAGATACGAAAACTATTATCTTTTTCGTGGGTTTTTAAAATGGGCGTGGGTAAAAATAGTAAAAACCCCTGCCAATAATAATTCTTAACACAGATGCTAACAATTGACATTTTATTTTTAATACTGTCAAATACCCTATTCTTTATTACACTATTACACAAAAAACATAAAACACAGGAACGCAAACACAAAAGGCGGCCATATTGCTAGGGTAGCAATCACTACCAGGCAACCATCGGCTAAATGAAACCATACCATAAGAATAGAAGAAACAGCGGGCTATTGCATTGTAAAAATAAATAAATAAACGTAAATATAAGAATATATAGTTAGTATATAAGGAAGCTTTCAAATACAATACAAAGTAATGAACACATGAAAAGATGAGGCAGAGTACAGATTAAGGAAATATTCCTTAATTTTAATAGCAAAGGAGTCGGCTAAACTGTTCTTCCAGGGCACAAGCGGTAATACTTCACACTAGGTTAGGTTAGTGTTGTGACAATAACGCGCGAGGCGAGCGAGCAAAGCGAGCGTGCCGCGGCAGTGGCCGGCGAAGCACCAGAAAAAAACTCTATTAAAAGAGACCTTTTCTACAAAAAACGACGGATTGCACTCCGGGAGTGCCAGCAGAAGTGAAAACTTGAATATTAATGTTGTGCATTTTTGATATTTTGGAATGGTTAGTGAATAATTTTGCACGAATTGCTTTAATAATCAGTATAAAAGTACTATCATGTATGTGGTAGAATACAATATTTATTTATTGCGCTACACAAACATGACAATTTATATTACATTAAAAAAGTTTATCTCTCAAAAAAATCGACTTACATGAATCACGTTAAGCGGACTTAGCGACATCTATTGTAAGGAAATCAACTTACATGAATCACATTTAAGTGTACCTAGCGACATCTATTGTAAAAAAAATGCATTTTCTCCGCAATAAAGCTGTCATGTGGACGTCCTAAATAGAGACTTATTATATAATACGGTAAAATAAAATATTACTATGTTTCGTCCAATATATTGAAAGTCAACAACCTTTCCAATTTTATTGTGTGTCATGATGCGATCAGCCCACGTGTTTTACCTCACGCGAGTTTAACATTTTTTACCCATACAAAAAAGTGTACAACGCCGCTAAAGTAGTTTTCATTTCAAAAATATCAAGTATCACCTCTTGGGCCCTGGAAGTACAGTTTTACCAAGCAGTCCCTCGTCTGTGCACGTTTAATATCCAAAGGTGGAGAGTTCCACAATTTATTGTCATTTATTTTTCATTTATTTTGAGGTTCCACTTTTAAACAATGGCAACATAACCTTTCTAGAGTACCTCACCTCAAAATGAAGGAAATGAGCAGGGCTTGTAACCGGTTTCTAAAATACCGGTAAATAAAGATCAATACCGTTTTTTTGTAAAGTTTTCGTTCGGAGCGCGTCCGAAATGAAAGCGGTACCTAAAACCATAATAAACCGGTTTAATCCAGAGCGACACGTGCACGCGTCGGTATCGCTTGAAGTTTGTTTTGTTTGAACTAATCAGTCACAACTTGTTAATGCTCAGAGTTTGATCAGCATTTATTGACACGTTGGCTAGTGTCTAGTGAGTCAAGTTATTCATTTAGTATCGATGCCGTCAGAAAGAGCGAAATGAAATCATTTAAAAACCGCTAAATTGATTCAAAACCTATTGGATTTCGCTCTTTTTTAAGGTTAAGGTAGAGCCAAACCTAAATAAAACGCTCCTAATGTACTTGACACTGATTTAGGTTTGAAAATTAACCGGTAAACAAGCCCTGGTTCCAGGATTTGCTCAGAGTTTCTCTCTCTCCCACACGATGGATCCGGTACCCCCATGGTGAATCCATGGATTGCTAAGAAGTTCGCATCAACCCACGACATTATAAAAATTTAACTCTTTTACGATTCGTCACGCCGTAACTTAAGAATGACTCTACTTCATGACTTCTAATAAGTTTCAACTCGACACCTCCTCGCGTCCCTACTGACGCGCCGACACCAACCTTTGCCACCTTTTTTTTCTAAATGGCTTCGCACGGCTTGTGCATTTAGCCAATGTCTAGTGTTAAAATATTTACAAATACTATAGCACTCGTGGTCAAAGTAATAAAGCAAGTCAAAGTAAGTGGCAGTCAAGTCCATTCCCCTTTCCCTATGTTTCAGTAAAAGTGTGGGGATTTACTGGAACCTCCCCGTGGACTTCTTGAGGGAACGTCGAAAGACACTTTCGGCTATTTTGTTTCACTTCCCAACACTTGTGCATGTTCCCGAACACTTAGTGGTTAATAATCCACCATTATTAGACACTAACATCCGATACAACACAATTTTTAACAAGAAAAACAAAACTGCTAAACTGACGCTTCCTGATCCCGCCGAAAAGTCCCTTTGCCAACTTCTTCACGCGTTTACGTATTTACGTGCAAAATATAGTCTTAGGTACTGATATCAGCGTGAGTGATGTGTGGGATGCGTGCGCAGCTCTTCCCGACGAGCATGAAAGTTGGAGGGTATAATGTGATTCAACTAAGAATAGGTTCGACGGGGCGCCATATTGTGACGTCATAGCTGTCAATTCAAACGAAAAAGGTAGAGTGAGCAAAAAAGTTTTTATTTAATAAAAGTTATTTACTAAGATTAAGTGAGAAAATACATTCGATTTTTTAATAAGAAAAATACTAAAATTGAGAAAAGGAAATAACCGGTTTTTAATAATATTTATTTATTAATACTGTGCGAGAAAAACATTATTCAGAATTAAGCTCTTCAATTCCGCTCATCTCGGCATTACCGCCGGAGTAGTTATGAATAATCATGCACTATTACTAGGTCACATACGAACATGCATTCTATATGTAAACCAAAGTTTTAAATCGAGTTTCTGAACGCAACTTAATGTGACATTTGGTTGACGATTTAGGTTATCAAACATTCATAGCCAAAGCTCAATAAATGAAAATAAAATATCAACCAATATTAATTAACAATATTTGTAATTGTTTGTTTACAAATGTTTGATTTTTATTCCATAATTAGCTGAGTGCCAAATAAGGGTTTCAAGATTTTTTTGCAAGCCGTACTTTTCAAGCGACATTTGACAGATGGAGGTCATTGGCTTTCCTATTCTTATTTGAATCGCATTATAACTCAGTAAAGGCTGAAACAGTACGAGTGTCATACGCGACAATATATACATATATATATATATATAAACATATAAATGCATGAGTGATGCGTGCGCTGCTCCATTCCCCTATGCCTTATGCACCGCCTAATGTTGGGTTATTTAAGAAAACAAGTTTTACTTCAAATATGTGCTGCGTGCACACATCGTTTTTTCTCTTTAGATTTTCTTACCCTCGATTTTCTGTTCCAGGCCGTGTTCCCCCGTCTTCTACTGACGGAGCAATTCGCCGACGTGACGCTAGCGTGCGAGTCTCGTCAGCTGCGCTGTCATAAACTAGTACTGTCCGCCTGCTCTGCCTACCTGGAGCGGCTCTTACTGCAGAACCCCTGCAAGCACCCCATCGTACTCATGAGGGATATGAGGTTAGTTAACTAATAGTACGCAGTGTTTGTCGCTAGATGGCGCTGTATCGTTGTGCATCGCGGTAACGTCTGGAGCGGTTGCTGCCATCAGAAGAGACAGGAGACATAAGATCAGTCAGAAACACCAAATAATCTTAGCACTAGATGTCATTGTACCGTTGTCAATCGCAGTTGTAATAGATTTTAAGGGGTTTTGTGAGGACCTACTGCGCCGTCACAAACTAGTGCTGTCCTTTTTTAATAGATTGATTCAAGAGGAAGGTTTATATGTATAATCTAATATATAAAATTCTCGTGTCGCGGTGTTTGTGGTTAAACTCCTCCGAAACGGCTCGAGCGATTTTCGTGAAATTTTATATGCATATTCAGTAGGTCTGAGTCTGTTAAGGGTAATCCACCCCTAAATTTAATTATATTAATTTTAGATATATATTTTTTTTTAAATTATTTTATTATACATTAAACAAAAATACATACAACCCTAAATTTTCACCCTTCTACCACCAACCCTTATTTTTTTATGGCGGTACGAAGTTTGCTGGGTCAGCTAGTACATGCATAACATAGTATAGAAACACTGATAATTTGGAGGTTTTTAATGTAAGGTTGTAAATAAACACTTTTTAGCGCTTACATTGCAAACGCTGGCTGAACCCTACAAGATAGATCAAAATAAAGTACTACAGTATTGTACACCTTAAAAAGGTCTACAAAAAAGTCCGCGGTAGTATATGTCCTATCTCTTAGGAATAACCCACAATAACCATTTTTTATCCTATACTTTTTACGAGAAATAATAGATTATTTACGAAGCGATTTTCAGCAATATAACATTCATCCTTATCCAATTTAGTACCTTAAATACATTGTGCATTTAATATAGACCAATTTGGCCCTTTAACGCATGTAATTTAAATGAATATTTTCCAAGATATTATAGATTTAAAATGCAGGGACATAGCGGTTCCGACGCTACCGGGCGGGGAGCTTGGCGGCGCGTGCCTATTGTAATTAGGTATTAAAAGAATGTCATTGTGTATAATACAAGCCTGAGAACAAAAACTATAGTCTACACTACAGCTCTACACCGAAGCGAAGCGAGGGCGGGCCACTAGTACAGTATAAATAAGATAATATTATTGATATTAGGTGTAACTAGACGTTTACATTTTAAATATCAAAGTAGTTAGGGCAGAATAGTAATAATCCATAGCACTAGATGTCACTGTACCGTTATAAATCGCAGTTGTAGTAGTTTTCAAGGGGTTTTGTTTTGAGAGGATCAACGTGCGTCGTCACAAACTAATGCTGTCCGCCTGGAATACCTCTAGAGGCACTCGCCAATTCTCGGCTTGAGGTCCCCTTAGGATCTCGCCGTCCCCAAACCCGGTGACGCTGTAAAGGTCATCTGCGACCAACAGCATACACACTCATTTAACTCTACCAACGGAACATTATTAAAAATTCAAAATTCAATATCGTTTATTCAGTATAGGCTGTTACAAGCACTTGTGAATGTCGAAAAGCTACGCCATCGGTTCGCAAATCTACGGCGGGAGACCTTGTACTGAGAAGAACCGGCAAGAAACTCAGCAAGGGCTGTTTTTTTCTCCCTGTAATATATACAGAGTAGTCAATTTGAAAAATGAGTTCAATATGAGATAACCCATGAAGTCACTTTCCATTACAAATGTAAATGATAAAACAATTATGACTATAAAATAAAAAATATAAAAAACAGATTTAAAAATGAAAAAAAGTTTAGGAATGCCGTGTCCCACTGTTTAGGCATAAAAACAATATTATACAACAGACCATTGACGACCTCCGTGGCCGAGTGTTTTGTATGCCGGGTTTCAAGGCGTCGCCGACTCGAGAGGTCCCGGGTTCGAATCCCAGTGGGGGCACATGTTAGTGTGATGAACACGAGCATTTGTACTCCAGTCATGGATGTTTAACATGTATTTCTATATAAATATACTTATATATGTACTGTATATGTATTCTATCCGTTACCCAAGTATTCCATAACACAAGCCTTATAGTGCTTACTTTGGGGCTAGTCTAATTGGTGTGAGTGTTGGAAATATTTATTTATTGAAGTGAAACTTCTTTATCGGCGTTGGAAAAAAATTTACCGTCACATTTTTTCGGTTACGCGTCACGTTCTTTGTTTACGCGCCATCTTTTTTTTAAAAGAGCACTATTTACCTCATCCGAACAATTGCTTCTTCTGTCAACTTAAAAAAAAAAGTATCGACAGCAAATATTCGTGTTTCACACAAGGTAAGGTAAGGTAAGGTAAGGTAAGGTAAGGTAAGGTAAGGTAAGGTAAGGTAAGGTAAGGTAAGGTAAGGTAAGGTAAGGTAAGGTGTAGTTATACCCCTTTAGTGGGTGAGTTTTTGAAAAATCTTAGCGCACGCCTATATATATATTTCTGGAAAGTTGCATGTAGATCATTTTTCGAAAAAAATAAGGCCATAAAGAAGTTTCACTTCTTACGTGTGTACACTAGTACACGCACACATTTTTTTTTTGTATATAGGAATGTGACCTGCAGCCTGATGGATAAGCAATCATTATAGCCTATAGATAGATATAGTCAACTGAAACCCAACACCACCTAAGGGTGGAGTAAAAATATTTCACCGTGGTTTTACTCAGCCCGGTGTATATTACAATTTTAGAGGGACAATTTTTATATGCCATATCTCTTTTCAAAGTAGAACTACTCTTATTTCGTTTATCTGTCTTAAGCTAAACATAAATCATACTTGAATAATAAAGTTTCTAAACCTAATGAAAAGTTTTACTAGAAAAAATCCACGCGGACCAGGCAGCGGACGGGACTCGAACCCGCACCCTTCGCAATCCGGGCGAATGCACTGACCAATTATGCTACCACGGCCCTGATGGCAGCATCGAAATTTTCCTAGTCTTAAGCTGCAAGGCAGCGCCATCTCTTCGCATTGTAGGTAACCCACAATGTCAAATGAATACCTTTACAAGTATGAAACATTTGAAAGAAGAAATAGCAATTATAGTTGTTTATTTTTTTTAAGTATTTAACTGCTAGATGTTTCAATCTAAAAAAAAGTTTTACTAGAGAGAAAAAACATAAGTTTCTAAACGATTGTGTGTTTGTTCCAGGTTCAGCGAAATGCAGGCCCTCGTGGACTTTATGTACAAGGGCGAAGTCAACGTCACCCAGGAGGAGCTGCCGAGCCTGCTGAAGTCAGCAGAAGCCTTGCAGATCAGGGGTGAGAATCTCTTATATATTAGACAAGTCCGTCCGTCCGTCTGTCTGTGGTGCTGTTTCAGCGGCCAAACCGTAAGAGATAGATAAAGAGAATGTTTAAGTTATAAGTTAAGAATAGTCTGATAAGACTACAAACCGGATTTGAGTAACGTAGCACTTCCGGTTTTCGAGAAATCACGAATTTCAAACGAAACCACACAAAATCTCCGAAGTTCTCAATTAATTAAATACATTTTTTTTATTTTTATTTTTAAATCAGGTTTTGGTGAACATTTGGTTCACTGGTTTGCTAGTATTGTAGCTATTATCGGGATTGTTACCATGTAACTTGAGTTGTTTTTTATTGTTTTTTATGAGTCTTCGATATTTCGGCACTGTTGCAAGCGCCATGATCACGGAGTAACTGACTGTTAAATTATGCTACCACGGCCCTATTTTTTTATAGTAAACTTTTCTTTACATTTAAACATCTAGCAGTTAAATGCTTAAAAATAAATAAAAACATAACTATAATTGCGGTTTCTTCTTTCAAATGTTTAATACTTGAAAAAGTATTCATTTGACATTGTGGGTTGCATACAATGCGAAGAGATGGCGCTGCCTTGCAGCTTAAGGCTAGGAAAATTTCGACGCGGCGAATAGGGCCGTGGTAGCATAATGGTCAGTGCATTCGCCCGGATTGCGAAGGGTGCGGGTTCGAGTCCCGTCCGCTGCCTGGTCCGCGTGGATTTTTTTTCTAGTAAACTTTTCTTTAGTTTTCAACATCTAGCAGTTAAATGCTTAAAAATAAATAAAAACATAACTTCTTTCAATTTTAAAATCCTACATTATCCATGATGAACATAGGCTATAGAGTATTTTCAAAGAAGTTAGGGTTCCGTATGAAAACTTCGACAACTTAAGCCAGGGTGTAAAAAAAATACCAAAAAAATACCTTACATCGCTTACGATGCGGAAGTCATTGACAGCAGATCAAAATAATGTACGTACTATGGTTTTATAGAAGACATCAACATCAAAAAAACGCCAAAGTGCGTGTCGTGCCACGCGCAATCCCGTAGTTACCACAATATATTTGAGCAGGAGTCTTTATTTAAGATCTAATTTACTAGAAATATATAATCATATATCGCATCATAGACGATGAGGAGTGAAACACCTTGAGCCTCTTCAATTACGCCGTGACGTGGCGTCACTAAGCGCGTTCTACCGTCTGTACCACGGCGAGTGTTCTGAGGAGTTATTCTCTCTTATTCCTTACCTTCCCCTTACCTTCAGAGGACCACGCGCGCTGGCCTACGTTGTCACCAATTAATGGTGCCCACAATTCCAACGCGTACAAAGTTTGGTGACTCATTTCTTTGTCGAACTATCCGTAAATGGTATGCTCTGCCCGCTCACGTGTTCCCTCCCTCTTACAACCTGGGATCCTTTAAAAGAGGCGTGAAGAAGCAACATGCAGGCCGGCAGGGTGAGGATGGCTGGTGTGGCAGGTAGAACTGCTGTATCAGCTATCGTCACGTCTGGACTTCACCTTCACTTAACATCAGGTGGGGTGGAGTCATTTGTCGGACCTATCTATAAAAAAAAATTGTGTATGTCAGCTCCGACGCACGACTGTAGTTTACTCCTTAAGTTCGATGATAGTCTAACCAGACGCAAAAAGAGTTTATTTAACTTAAAAAAGATTGATACTGTATGAAAGGGTAAATTAACAAATTAATGAAAATAATATACATATATAAATATATATTTATGCATTTCATATACTTTTATTATAACTAATCGACGAAATATTTTACATTAAACTTTTTACAATAGTCAATTTCAGATGTGCATAAATATATCATTAGGAATGTTGATAAATTATGTAATTATTATTATCAGACTATTATCATTTTTTTAATATTAATATAATGAACATTGTCTGCATTATTAATTACAGTGACAAGTGGTTTATGGTAACTAAAATAAGACACATGGACGTTCGTCGACGAAAATTTTATTAATGTCAATCCGTCATCTTTGTTTGTCAAAGTTGCGCGACATAGGATGCGCACCAAAAACGTATCGAGGTCATTCATCGATAGATTTCACTCCTCACATTTTTCTCATACCGGGCCCCTTATACAGGGTGAAATTGAATGTTTCAATGAAACTTCGTGGGATTATTGGGTTACGTATATAGAGTATCTCTGAATTTTTTCGGATTTTTTAAAAATGATTTAAAATAAAATTTCGTTTTTTTTTGTTATATTTTAATCTCCTTTTGGGTACTAAATAATTATTCTTTTTAAACACTCATACAGAGTAAGTAAAAAACAACTAATTAGCACTTCTAAAAAAACGTAAAAACAGAAGACGAGCGGCCGGGAGCAATGACCGCTCCCGCCGTTGAATCGGTTGAATGGCAATGCCTACCTATGCGCGGTGCAAAGCGCAGTGAGCGAGCGCAGTGTCAAGTTTATCCACCGCGCGTGCGTATCTTTTAAATTTGGGACAAGAGAAGATTTGCAAATAATGCCATGATTAGTTCTTGTTCTGTGGCCTCAATATAAGAAGTTGGATATGGTGTGTTGTTATTGTAGTGTCACGGAATACTCAGCAGAGCCACAAGGCTTTACGAAAGTAGGTTTGGTGATTGATTGTGTTTACAAAGTGTATACGGGAAGTTTAAGTGAAAAAAAACCGGCCAAGTGCGAGTCGGACTCGCGCACCGAGGGTTCCGTACAAACTCAATTTAATACCTCTACGCGTTCACGAGAAAAGTGGTAGTAACTTTAAAATTTTCAAAAATATTTTTTCTTATATGATGTAACTAAAAATTTATAGTTTTCGCAATTTTTCCTTTATCTGTACGATAAGACGTTACTTCGTACCAAATTTCAAGATTCTAAGTTCATGGGAAGTACCCTGTAGGTTTTGATTCCCGTGCGAGTTTCGAAAAGTTGCGGAAATTTGCGGCATAAACGGCTGTATCTTTTGATTGCGTTGGCTTAGAAGTTTGATTTTTTCACAGCTTCAAGGGACAGTAGACCTGAGTAATTGATATAAATTTCAGCTTCATACCTCCACGCGTTCCTGAGAAAAAGGGTCTTGACAGACGGACGGACGGACAGACGGACAACAAAGTGATCCTATAAGGGTTCCGTTTTTCCTTTTGAGGTACGGAACCCTAAAAATGAATAGGTACATCGGTCTCGTAAGTACTTTTGAAAACCGGGTTATAAATTTCACCCAAGTATTGAACTGCAATAAGTATTTCTTTTTGTTTAACATTTGCCTATTTCTAATCGTGACAAAATTATTATTAACTTTTAAAGTTTTTCTCCGCTTAAGAGAAGATGACATTTGTGCTTATTATTTCAATAAAGGCATCTAAGACGACTTTATTGTATTGTGTGGAATCAAAGGAGTCAACTGAACTCTGTGTATAGGTACGTACTCACTCAACGGCTGGCGGGCGCGGTCGGTCGTTGACCTGTGGTGGAATTTTAATGTTTTTCCATTTTTTTTAAGTACTTATTTATTAGTTATTTTTCACTGGATATGTAAGTTTGTTTGTTTAAAATGAATAACTACTCAAAAGGAGGAAAGGACATAAAAATACACAAATTATAAATAAAAACATGAAAAAAAATACTTCAAAAAAATCCGAAAAAAATCAGGCATACTCTTTTCACGTAACCCAACAATCTCACGAAGTTTCATTAAAACATTCAATTTCACCCGATATATATGCAAATCGGTTCTTAAGGAGTAAACTCCAAAAATATTTTTATGTCTTTATAACCACAGTATTTCATTTGTAAGTATATGAGATGTATTGTTATCCAGGGTTGTGCTCCAGCGACACGTCAGGGTTGTCTCCGAGCCTGACCGGCAAGCAGGACACTAAAGACTTCACGGTGGCCAGCGAGGCCCTCGTGGCGCAGGCCCAGCATACCAACACTAATGGTGAGTATGTGTCGAGGGTTTGAATCCCGGTTGGGTTAAATTTTTGAAGCGAAAACTTCTTTAATATCGTTGTGATTTGAGATTCGATGAAACGGAAGTAGAGTATTTTGACACAAGATAGGTATCCCTAATTTTATCATTTACTACAAGAGACAGATAGTTAAACGGTAACGAGCTTGGGATCGACACCAAGGATGTATTCCGTAATATATACCAGTATACTGTCCAGTGCTAATGACGTCATGGATCGACGCTATACTGGTGAATTGTTCCGAAATATATTGGCCAGTGCACTGACGTCATAAATCGACGAAATATTAAAAATAGTGCGAATAAAGAAGATTTTTTATTCACCTCATCAATTAAAAGGAATTCTTTTTGTTCGGATGCCGTTATTGTTCTTTAAATAAAAAAGAAATAAAATTCGAATGCATCTCACGCGCGCTCGGTCATACGTCATATTCGTTTTCCCGCTAAAAATATGGTAGCATACCAGTACAATATGGCGTCGGATTCGTGACGTCATTACCACTGGCCAGTATACTGATGTATATTTCGGAATACACCCTAAATGATCGGTGGTACGTCCCTGAGCTCGGTTATTTATTTAATTGTTTTAATAGTTTTTTTTCTATTACTAATTCTAGTTTAGGTATAAAATATTTAATTTTGCCCTAGACAGTTGAATTTTAACACAGGTGTTGTCTTGAAGACGTGGCACACAGGTGTTGTCATGAAGTCATGAAGGACTTTAACGTGTTCACATACTTGTAGGTTTCACGTCTATCGCATTTGAACAGCACATGTCCGTTGTTTTTTTTTTCTAAATCAAACAAACGACAACTTACAAACATATGGGTCAAACTGAGAACATCCTTGTTTGCAGTCGGTTTGAAAGATTACTCTAATGTTTACCAAATCAAGTATTTCAGATTGGATGTTTAGCTTAATTTCTATCTGTAATAATAAATTAAAATCGTACACCTAAAATTTGTAAATATAAAGCAAGCACATTGAAAGAAAATAAAGCAGAAAAATTGTTAGCTTTTTTAAATTTTAGTAATATAATATAACTCAATTTAATGTCGGCGTGAATTGAGTACTTGATAGCTGAACACTTTTTGATGTGTACACTCGCGGAAAGACCCGCTCTGTCACCCATAATGCCATAATCGCTTGCGGTAGCGGCGTAGTAAAAACTCATTCATAGACATGTAATTATCGCTGTCTTACTTTTTCGTATAGCGCTGTCGCGATCACGATGCGGATGACAAATTGCAACTAAAACAAATGCAATTCAACTCATTATTCAACAATGAAATGCTCTCTGTCTTACTTTTGTGCGGCGGCCCGGATTGGCGCGTCCGACGCGAAGGCGGGGCGTAGTAAAAACTACTGTAGAAAACCGTTCAAAGCATTTTGTTCGCTAAGTGACAGAGCGCAAAATTCCGCGATAGTACCTATATCTGTTAATAATTTAAAAGGATACTTACTTAATACTCACGTTTAAACAAAAATACACATATAAAATACGATAAAATCAATCTCTCAACAATATCTCGTCTCGAATGTAGGCACGACCCCACAATCTCATCAGACACAAAAATCGAACCCGACGACACACAACGGACCCAAGAAGAGCAAATCTGAAGAGCGGACTGTGAAAGAAGAGACGGTGGAAGAGGACGGATTGTACTACGGCGAATTGGACAACGACAACATGGAATATAACGAGGTAGGATAGGGTAGAACAAGGTACTTACACTTATACTTAATGACCTGTTCCTTGAACCTCATAACCAAATTAAAAAATGGAGTTTTTTTTTTTGAAAATTCAGGTAATTTTGTTTATAAATAGTAAAATAAAATTTATTTTCTCTCAAGATCCCAATAATCATTTATTATACAATGGTGTCCATTCATAATCAAAATGTAAATTAATATATGTCAAATATTTTATTTACTAACATTTTATTATATACAAATTCCTAAAATAATATATTATTATAGTAAAATTATTTAAGACAAAATTGACTTTTTTCTTATTATATTTAACACTAATCAAGAAGCTCATTTAAAGTTTATAAATGAAATAAAATAATAATTCATTCAAATTGACTCATTAAAAGCATTTTTGAATCGTCCAATATTTTTTCCTTCCACCCATGGAAAATATATAGAATAAAAACCTTGCAATTCTGAAATAATTATTTCGATTTTATATATCTGCATAATCTACCTAACAAGTTTTTATAACTTTTATATATTTTTTATAATAGTTATAAAAAAAATATCAACTAAGTAACTTCTTCCATGTTGGCCAATAAAATATACCTACATAGATTTTGACAACCACACATTCTTTGCAGATAGATTAAAAAGTCAGTCAACTTGTACTTATTGTAGAAGGTTAATATTTTTACTCCCAACCAATATCAAAAGTGTGTGTTGTTCATAAACTTTTTGCATAATAAAAAAAACTTATTTTGAAAAGATCAAAAATATTTATTATTATTATTTGTTACTTTTTACATTTTTAGATAAAATCTATATTGTGGTCTTTAACTTCAAGAATAATATAAAAACTACATAATAAAATTGCACTTTTTTGAACTCTGTTAAAATTATTTTATTAAATGATTGGTGTGTGTAAAAACATAAGATAAAAACACACTTTTTGCTCTCAAGGTGCACTATTCATACTTTGCCAAATCATCAAGACATGTATGTAGATTAAGATATAAATAAATTAAAAATAAAAATTATTCTTTCAGGATGAAGAACCCGGCAAACCAGGCAGCAGTCTAGGACAGACATCTGGTAAGTTTAAATATTATATTTCAAAAACCTATACAATTAATACATATAAATGGGATGTAAAAAAAATATTTATAATTTACAAATGATTCATGAATTAAATCTTTTTAAAGATTTTCTATTACAGTAATATTCTTTTACATAATGTTTCAATAAAAATATATATTATGAAAAAAAAAAATTTTTTTTTCTTAATATAATTCGATTCATACGTGCGTACATCGTTATTATAGTGAAGGGACACGATGTATAAAAAAACCGGGAAGACGAAAAGGGAACGAAAAATGTCTGTAAGGTAGGCTGCATCATGATATTAATTGGTATAATATACAGTAGAGTATAATAGATGAACCATGAATGTCTTATTTTTTGTATTTTATTTTCATTTTTTATATAAAAAAAATACTAACAATTAAAAAAAAATAGTTTTGTAGAAAAAAAATCCCATTTTTTGTTTTATTTTTTTCTGTTATTTGTCATTAATTTGTTTGCTCACACAGGACTATCTTACAGACATTTGAGTCTCTTCGGTTTATTTCTGATTTTATTTTTTTCGTTTCGCCGCCACCCAGCATTCATGGTTCACGATATGCATGCCACTTGTTTACAATATGCAATGAGATTTTGATTGATTTGGAGCCTAGATTTTTTCTTACAGCAATATATACAAGATTGGTTTTACAAAAAAAAAAGTTTTAAAGAAGACTAGTTACAAAACTTTTAAAATTAGTAAACACTTTGATCAGTTTTAGCTTTGCTTATTTTGTTCTCAGTACGTCTTTCTAGCTGGATTTAAATCATGTAAAGTACTTTCTCTCGGCATAGCTTACTATTCTTTTAAACAAGGCTCTTGATCTGTGACTTTAAGGGAGAAATTTGCTTGCACAAGACCTTGATAGCATTATTACATCTTTTCTCTGTTATTGAGAGATGCGATTTGTCTCTAAAGTCTTTGTGATAATATTTTTTACAAAAGACATTTCACTATACTATTTCTAATAATATCATACCAGCCACTTTAAAACCAAGCTTCATATGTTAGGGTAATCTTTACTTACGCCTTCTCTACACTAAGAATCGTTAATGCGGTTTCAACTCCAAAATCTCAGGGCTTCAACAAAACATATTACTAAATTATCACCTCTCTATTTAAACTCCCCATATTTCAGGTCATCGCCACACATACATTCGCGTGAAACCCGAAAGCGAGTTGTTCTTCCAGAACAAACTCCAGAGTTTAGCCAAAGCCAACTCCGAGTACATAACGCGGCTATCCAAAATGAATCCAGCTGAAATGAGGAATGAATTCACCAAATACGGCTTGAACACCAGCATGCCCACAGAGGAATACACTCAGAAGTGCATCGAGAAGTCTGAAAACGACTTCTATAAGTCCTGGTTGGAACAGAACGGGGAGTTAGAAGTTTCGCTACTAAAAGCTGGTCAGAAGAAGATGAGGGAGAAACAGCAGCCTGCTAAATCGGAAGTTGAACTTATACCAAAGATGAAGGAGCCTGAAAAGACCCAAATCAGACGTAGAGGAAGACCGCCTCTGTTCAAAGACAAGAATCTAGATATTGGTGAGACAGTACTGAAGTCTGATTTGGACCAGTTCTTGGAAGGCAAGGAAGTCAGTTCTTCGGGGTTGTCCAGGAAGGACTTGGAGAGAGTCATGATGGGGAAATTTAACCCTAATAGGAGGTATTCGAATGAAGCCATGTGGGCTGCCTTAATGGATGTTAAGAAAGGGGGCAGCATTTACAGGTGACATATCAATTATTTTGTGTTAGTAGTGGTTAATAGGGATGATGACTAATTTTTTTTTCTTCGTTTATCGGGTAGATTATCAAAAAGTATTGGACACGTTTTTTTATTTCTTGTTTCACATAATATAAACATTGCAGAGATATATTGATTTGAAAAGTCGCATGACGTCACGTTTGAGTACACTTATAAGTGAAAATTCACTCAAAAGTGACGTCACGAGCCCCCACTCCCAAACTTTGACGCGCTATAACTTTGTCATTTTTTGGTTGATTGCCCAAAGAAAAAATACGTGTCCATTATTTTTTAATCATCTAACTGACGGACTAAATAGAATTTCGTTTCCTGTACCCCGCCATCACCCCTATTGATATACGCTTGTAATACTAAGGGATAATCATACATTTTCCGTCTTAACTTATAACTTTATCTTAAAAAAAATTAAGTGCTTTGTTCTACAACTTTACACTGCAATATAGTGTCCATCTACATCAGCCCATTAATGCCCCCACTGCTGGTGCACAGAATAGGGAGAATGGGCCGTGATTCATTACACGGGCCCAGGGCGGATTTTTGTGTGCTAATGCAGCATGACTGCAGATGCGGCTGGGACCAAGGCTTGATATGGTTATTCCAAAGCATGGAGGAGAGAGATATGATATAAATTTGGTAAACTATCCTATGCCTGTGCCCCAGCAGTGGGGACATTAATAGGCTGATGATGATGATGATGATATTTCTACCACCTTTAATACCCACCCTTAGAATATTTCATTTTCTATTTATGTTCAGTTCCCAGTCTCAAAAAACAACGTTTTCAAATTTCACAATATTAATTTCCGCTCTCATTGTAGCAACACTGATTTAAACTGATGACGACCTCCGTGGCCGAGTGGTTTGTACGCCGGGTTTCATGGTGTCGCCGACTCGAGAGGTACCGGGTTCGAATCCCGGTGGGGGCAGATGTTTGTGTGATGAATACGAGCATTTGTACTCCAGTCATGGATGTTTAATATGTACTTCTATATAAATATACTTATATATGTACAGTGTATGTATTATATCCGTTACCCTAGCATCCCATAACACAAGCCTTACAGTGCTTACTTTGGGGCTAGGCTAATTGGTGTGAGTGTTGGAAATATTTATATTATATTATATTTATTAAACTTCTGTTTCAGAGCTGCCCAAACCCACAAAGTTCCCAGAAAGTCTTTACGAAACTGGATGAAAAGATGCCACATCAAATCCTCGTTTCCTATGCCTCAACAATTAAAGCAATTCGTAGAGAACAGCAAGAAGCAGAAGGAATACAAGAACTACGACAATTTCAACGCTGAAAACCCAGAAAAGAGTGGAGCGGAAACGGATGTGGCTTCGTACGATGCGGAAATGGATTTCGGAAAGCATTTCCTCATGAGCACAGTTTCTAGTGAAGATGAAATGAAAAATGACCAAAATCCTAATGAAATTGACCCAAATGATGCCACTGCAGCTGTTGATATGACACTGCATGAATAATTTTAATATATTTCAACAAAAAGCGAAAAAAATAGATTTTTTTGTAATGGATTTCTTTGGTAATTTTTATTATCGTTGGAATTTTTGTGGGGCTTACTAAAGGTGCTGTTATCTGATGTAATGAGACATATTTTTGTTACAGTCTTATCTGTATTGGGAAAGTGTGCTTATTAAAAAAATATGCTGACGAAATGAGTATATTACCCGCGGAAAGTTCGATTAGATATAAAGAAAATGGGTACTTAGCCATTAATATTGTATTTGGCAATTTAAACTTACTGCCTAAGATGAAAATCAAAGATTAGTTGAATTTACCCAACGATAAATTTATTTATATATTTAAAAAATACTTTTATGTTGTTTTTTTATGAAAAAAACATGTTTTCATTATGCAATATCTAAAATCCAAAGATTTATTATTATCGACAAAAAAAATAAATAAATCTATATTTAAATTATATTGAAATTCGCGCTGAAATAGATGTAATCTATCATCAGAAGCGTCTGGTGAGTGTTGCCAGCGCAGAGAAAATCTACCAAATGGTAGTTTTTATTATAATTTATGGTTCACGTTTAGTTACTATTTATTCGTAATTCGCGTTTTCGTATTATTTAAGTATTAGTTGAATTTCTTAATGTAAGAGTTAGAGGGAATAAAAATAAAATTATATTGGCCTTTTGAAAATCGTGTGCTTGATGGGACTTCGTCCAAATAAATTAAAAGACTTTTATATGAAATTTTAAATGTTAGTTTTTTTAAGCTAAGCGAAATATGAAAATGGCTGAATTTTAATTATATCTATTTATTTAGACCGGTATTTAACCTAAATTATGCATAAATCTTTTATGCATTTAAGATTTTTTTTTTCTATTTATGATATCATAGTCTGAGACACGAGTAAATTATTATTCACCAATGTGACTATAACTATATTGTTTTTAGTCATTTTTAAAAATCAGCCGAAAAGTTTATAATTTAGAAAAAAGTTTTAAAATCAATGTATACAGTCGCTTGGAGTTCGAAAATTTAACAAAAATCAATTATAACTTAATAATAGTAAGTAATGTAATTATTATTACTATTGAATAACAATATTATAATTTATTGTTGTATTCCTATAAATTATTTAAGTGTACTTAATTTAGTGGTAACAAATTTTGTGTGTGTGTTTTTAACAAATGGTCAGTTTTGGAGTCGTAAATATTTTTAATAATGTTTACTATGATCTCATTCTCAGTTCAGAGTAAATATTAAAGACATCGTATTAAAAAAAAGAAATATTCCCTATCGAGAGCTCGTAGTAACGACCGCCCTTATTTATAAACGTAGAATAAGTTTGGATAAGTCACTCCATTTTTGTCTCTGTTCATTGAATGACAAATGTCATTTGAGTGATATTCAAATCAATTTCAATTCAAATTCATTTATTTCGACAAAACAAGGATCATAATCATTACATTAAAATATTCAATTACATAAATATTAACCAAGAACACAGTAATCATAATAATAATATAATATAAAAGTATAATAATTAATAATCATAATAATTAATTAAATTTATAATTTGATGACCTCCATGGCCGAGTGGTTTGTACGCCGCGTTTTATGGTGTCGCCGACTCGAGAGGTCCCGGATACGAATCCCGGTGGAGGCAGATGTTTGTGTGATGAACACGAGCATTTGTACTCCAGTCATGGATGTTTAACATGTATTT